TGTGTGTGTGTCTATGTGTGTTTGAGTGTGCCAGTGTTCTCGGAGGACATTTTAAGTACAAGATTATATCTAACCCTTAAGAAATCATCAAACATTCAACATTCACAATTAGCGACTTTTAAACTGGGCCAGATATAGACTTTGCGGTTAGCTGGGGCGAAAGTGGGCGTGGCTACAAATCATAGCCCATAAACTATGAATATCCATATATGGATATTTTAAATTTTTAAGCTAACAGAGAGCCTGGCTGTAGCTCTTGACAGGGAAATGTTAGGCTGAAGGGAATTTGTACAATAACATTTTCCTAGGCTCTTTCCCGCCAGGTTAGCGGCATTGAAAGCTCGAAAGCTTAGCCGAGACAGCACAATAACTTCAAAGTCGGATCACAATTGCGTTGCAGCTGGCGCCATCTGTAGGCTAACAGTTGGACGCAGTAATTTGCTATAAAAACTTTAAGAAATCCCTGCCAAACCAAGCAGTGCACTGCTTTACTAGTGTGTCCCCAAAAGTATGCAAGGCTTTTTGAATGCGACAATGTGGTTAGTGTATTCACTAACCCATGCCTGTGTGTGTGTGTGTGTTTGTGCATCTGCTATGGCGCTGCAGGTGAATCCCGGCCCACGCGTCGAATGAGTACCATGGCCAAGCATTCAGTTGATACGATCGCAACTATTTTAATCCCAGGCAGACACTTCACACTAGTGGCCCGTTGAGTGATTGAGGCATGAATAATACGCTATACCGCATCGCCCCACTGCATCCGCTTGCGCTCAACGTTGATAAGATGCGCAGATATTGAGGTATTGCGGCCACCTTCAACTGTCTACTTTTGTCAGCGCGTCCGCATGGGCGCGTGGAGTGGAAACGGAAATGGTTGGTATTTTGGAACGCATCGATGTCTGATTATGGGATCAATACACGCCACTTGACCAAGAGTAGCGAATCCGATAGCAACATTTATTGCTCAAATTGTTTAGTTATCGCGCCTCACTTAGTTGCGAACGGAACCCTCTTTATATTGGTTTCTGTTTAACAGGAAAATCACAATTGAATGATCCAATACAGATATCATTATTTTCAAGTTCCAAAATCCAATACACTCCACAGAGCAAATAATTAAAGTGCGTCAAAAGAACAAACAAGAAAACCACATTGCAATCGTATTGAGTCAGCAAAAGCTCTTCACTGGACACTTGACCCCAACTCAAATTCTTTGTGCTTTATTTTGACAATTCAATTTATTATACCCTGAACCCATTAAAAATGGGTATAAGGGTATATTGTATTTGTGCGAAAGCCAAATGTATGTAACAGGCAGAAGGAAGCTTCTCCAACATCATAAAGTATATATATTCTTGATCAGCATCAATAGCCGAGTCGATCTAGCCATGTCCGTCTGTCTGTCCGTCCGTCCGTCCGTCCTTCCGTCCGTCCGTCCGTCTGTCTGTCCATCCGTCCGTCCGTATGTATGAACGCAAGGATCTCAGAACCTATAGGAACCTAGAGGCGTGAAATTTTAGATGTAGATGCTCCTAGTTCCCGCGCAGATCGAGTTTGTTTCAGATAATCGATAACATAGTGGAGAGAGCTCGATTGGGATAGTACTTAGTTTAGCATAATTTAATGAATCTCACTTGAGATACTCCAAAAAAGGTGGACTTTGCAAGCGAAACGTTTTTTGGCCAACAACTTTTTTTTAATGAATGCCATATAATAGTAGGGATCCGTACGCATTCAAAAAAGGTATAACATTTTATAATGAGAAGAGATTTTCAAAAAAATCGTCAAACAAGTTGAGATATTCGAACCTGTCCCGATTTTGGAAAAAAAAAACATGATGTAACCCCTTGCTTTTTGATCGATTTGGCTCAAAATTTAGATTTTTATTTTTATGATGCCAATCGATAGTACTGATCCTTACGAGTCAAAAATAGTATAAAATTCCAAAATCTGAGATTATTTGGCCGAGATAGTCAAAAAAAATTATCAAAAAAGGTTAATTTTACAAACAAAACGTTTTTTGGTCAACAACTCATTTCAACCCATCAATTTTTAATTTGTTTGACTGCCGTATGATAGTAGGGATTCGTACGAATTCAAAAAGGTATAATACTTGAAAATCAGATTATATTTACCCGAGATTTTCAAAAAAATATTGAAAAAAGTTTTGATATTCGAACCTACCCAGGATAATAGCGGAATATAGCTCCGTGCGGAGATATGACGTTCCAAAGCGACATAACTCCGCGGCGGAGATATGACATTCCAAAGCGACATAACTCCGCGCCGGGGATATGACGTTCCAAAACGACATAACTCCCCGCGGGAGATATGAAGGTCCAAAACGACATAACTCCCCACGGGAGATATGACGTTCCAAAACATAACTCCGCGTGGAGATATGACGTTCCAAGACGACGTCCTTCCGTCCGTCCGTCCGTCCGTCCGTATGTATGAACGCAAGGATCTCAGAACCTATAAGAGCTAGAGACTTGAAATTTTAGATGTAGGCGCTCCTAGTGCCTGCGCAGATCGAGTTTGCTTCCGATAATCGATAACTTACTCCGTTTCCAAGCAATCGATAAAAATCGATATCGAAACTCTGTTTTTTGGGTAATTTTGGTAAATAATAAGAGCTAGAGTCACCAAACTTGACACATAGCTTCTAAAATAGAATAAATATATGCATTTGATGTTGGAAGAAGAGGATTCAGGCTATCCCCTAGTCGGGAGCTCCCTCATACTTGTATTTTTAGCTTAAACTAGGCTCACCAGCCGCATACCCTGCCAGAGGGTAACTAAGTTCATCTGTTCTGTTTGTTTGTTTATGGTAATTGAATGTGTCTGTTTTGCAAAGCTACAGAAGCAGCATATCAGCTACAAATAAAATAATGTTGGTCCCAAAAACAAAAAAATCGATTGCTCCCATGGCAGCTACATATATGATATTGTTGTCCAGTTGCGACATATACACAGAAAGAAGGATGGCTTTAAAACTGAGAGACGGGCAGACGGACGGACAGACAGACAGACGGACAGACAGACAGATGGTCATGATTATATCAACTCGGCTGTTTATGTTGATCTAGAATATATATGCTTTATGGGTTCGGAGATGTCTCCTTCTATGCGTTACACATGTCATGGCCAAATGATAATACCCTGCACAAAGAAAGTAAACAAAAATACGATATTTGATTGAATGTTTATTTCACACAAAAAATATTGCACATAATAGTTGCGAACTAACATTTATTTGATATATATATACATACATATATATTTTTCTTGAATTTTTTTTTTTAGCATTTTTGCCTACAATTTGAGCCAACGTGAATCAGTTTGAATAAGTTTTACATTTAACATTTGCGATGTGGGGTAACAGCAAGTCTTTCACATTTAGAAAGCATATTGTATAATTTAATTCTTGAGATAGATAAATTCAATGTGGCTCCTTTGCAGCTTTCTTTTTCGAGCAGGGTGAGCAGCGAGTCTCTGGACGCCTGCACATTTATGATGTGGCCTGCCAATGGGACATACAGATCCTTAGCTATAGCGCGCGCGCCTAGCTATAATTGATCTGTGCCCAAAACTGGCAACCACGAAAGAAGGACTGAACCTTTTTTTACTTAGCTGCTGGCTCGCTCTTAAGCTAAGCTACTTTTGAAGGTTATTTTTATGATTTATCGAACAGTTTCTTAACTAATTATCATGCAGACAAGCTGCATGTCAAGTTGCATGTCATTTAGTCAAGAGAATTGTCTCTTTTTCGGTCTACTCAGCTGCGTGATACCCTTTTTTTAATTTATTTAAATTTGATTAAAATTGCATTTTCATTTTGGATTTGGGCTTAGTGTAACTTTGTTTTAGATAATATCGTTTGGCAGCATTAAATAGTATCTTATCTATTTTTTTTTAGTCAGGAGGAGGGTCTCTTTCGGTCTGCCCAACGGCTTGATACCCTTCTGTTATTGAAATTCAATTAAAATTGCAGCTTGATTTGTCTTTGTCTGTACTCAGTTTATTTGCATCAGATAGTTTCAGATAGTCCCTTTCGAGTTTAGCATCAAGTTTCATTCGTTTTCCTATGCGTATGTACGTTTATGTATATATATATATATACATATATATATATATATATAAGTTTAGCTTGATTTGTAGACTTCATATTATTTATGTTAGATTGGCTTGAACGATTTTTGTATCAGAGTTTCAGTGGCATATTTTTGATTTATAAATACTTGTATAATTTACATAGTTTGTTTCTCACTAAGAACTATTAAAAAAAAAGTTAATTACTTAAAATAAATCACAGTGTATTTAAGCATTTTTCATTTGTATTAAGTTTTCGTTTTGTATTGATTTGATTTTGTTTTGTTTTGTTTGTTTCTTTTGTTTTTTTTTGTGTTGTGTTTTATATGTTGTATAAATAAATTGCAATAAATAAGAATAGGAGAGAGAAAAAAAAAAGTGTAAATAAATAAATAAATTACTCTGAATTACAACGAATATTAAATTAAGACTTAGAAATTAACTGGGAATGGTCATGTGTAACTTTGAACAATAAATAAATACTTGAGTGTGCGTGTGTGTGTGTGTGTGTGTGTGATCATAAATACCCGCTCAACGGAAGTAGCAATGATTATAATACGATATACTAATACTAAATAGTTCTAGCATAAATGGCAAATAAATAAATAAATAACTAATACATATGACAAGTGCGTGGTAGAGTGGTGGGTTTTGTGGGAAGGGGCTTGGTTTGGTTTGGTGGTAAGGGGGGTTTCTCGTAAAATTCTAAAATGGCATTCGACAAATTCTTCGATTCGTTTTGATTTTGATTTCGTCTGTTGTTGACTCTCTTTTGGCAACCGCAACTGCAGCTAGGAACTGTGCACAGCACTGGGCGCTAATACTGGGAGGCTTCGTACTTCGAGGAGGCGTCTTTGGGCAGAGCCGGAGCCAGTGGCAGTGGCAGTGGCAGTGGCAGTGGCAGTGGCCTAACACTCGGCAGAGTTGAGGCAGCCGCTGTCATTGGACGCCGCCGCCACCACGGACGCTAAGCCGGCGGCGCTTTCGGAGCTCTCCAGACTGAACGTCTGGCGGGAGTTGGCGACAGAGGAGATGGCTGAGGCGGAAGCGGAAGCGGCGTGTTGTCTGCGCTCCATGCTGCCCCTGTGATGCTTGCGCAGCGCTAGGCGCAGCGATTTCCACATATTGTCCAGGAACTGATAGTAGAGCTGTTTGGTGAACTTGAGATCACGCTTGTCGGCCTCCTTGCTGCCATCGGCGGGCGTGTAGAACTTGAGGCGATCGAGCATGGCCGCCCTGCTGATCTGGCTGAGCTTGGCGACATTGCTGTACGGATAGGAGGCGTTGATGGTCGTCTCAATCTCGCAGAGCACGCTGCGTGCGCTCACCAGCAACTTGTGCAGCTCCTCGGTGCTCTGGCCCAGCGGCAGCTGGTGATCCTTGTGGTACTTGTACTGCGCCTTGCCCAAATACGCGAAGCTTCCCACGAATGTCTGGACGTGGCGGTACCAGGTCTTGAGCTTAACCTGCAATTGGACAGTTCGAAAGGGGGGAGGGGTTAGTCAATCAGTTGCCTTTCAAAAAAGGGCAAATGCAAATGCCGTTCAGCGAGTCGAGTCGAGTCGAGTCGCAACAAGGCGAGGCGAGGTGGAAACTGGTATAAGCCGCCCTGGGCGGAGCAGGTCCGACGCGACTGGCGACTCGCGACTCGCTTATTGTCAGCATAAAAAGCTGGCACATCGAACGCTTGCACATCTGTGAACACACTTACCACATCTGTGGGCCGCGTCATGTTTGGCAGGAACTTGTACTCGCGCTGCCAGGCCTGAATGTCGCCGTAGTCCAGATTCGCGTCTTGCCGGATGTTCCAGTACTCGATCCGCGTATTGTTGCGCAGCGCAATCAGATGCTGCAAAACAAATGGGAGCACATTAAAGCAACTGCAGGCTAATCTTCACTAGCTCTAAGCACATTCAAGCTGCATTACTTGGAATCAATACCATATGCATCCGCACACCCACCCACCCTCACACACACTCACACAGACACACAGCTGATTAGCTACATCAGTTTGAATCATTCGCTTAACCCTAGGCATAGGGTGGGGATAATGTGGACAATTGCCTACCTTGCGCTTGGCTGCACTGGAGACATCCGCTTCCCTGGGCTGGCTCTGGTCCGGCTGATAGACGCCACCGCAAGGGTTCACCCACTCGGGCGCCGCGGCCTCCTGCACTCGGGCAAAGAACCTCAGCGTATGGCTGCGTCGGTGTCTGATGCGCTGACGTCGCAGCTCGTGCAATGTGGCATAGACTGCAGCCTGTGCAATCTTCTCGTAGCTGCTGTCGGTTTCAGCCTCGACGCTGCTGCTGCTGCTGGCGTCGCTATCGTAGCTGGCATCGCCGAAGCTATCGGCCAGTCCATGGAACGGATTCACGTGCCAGGCCGGCAGCGAGTCGCTGGATTCGGAGCTGTTGCTGTCGCTCTCGCTCTCGCTGTCCCCGGAGTTGAGGCTGAGGCTGGCGCTGCCACTGGAGCTGTCCGCGTCGTCGTAGGCAAAGCCTAGCGCCAGCTGATCGTGCAAATGGCGGGCCTGTGTCAATGGCAGCAGCAGCGCAGCCAGAGTCATGATCAGCGTATAACTGTGAATGCGAAAGCTGCCGCTGTGGCTGCCTCTGCTGCTGCTGCTGCTGTTGCAACTGCAAATGTGTTGTCTATTGCTGCTGCTGCTGCTAATGCTGCTGCTGCTTTGGCTGTTTGTTGTCTCGCTTTGGCAATGCTTGGCTGCAAGGAAGAAGAAAAAAGAAAAATTAACCTTATTATTTGTGGCTTTGCGGAGCGTTCTCTGGCTGTCGCCTACCGTTGGACATGAGACTGGGCGCTAGACTAACACGACTGCACGAATCGTAAAGGCAACACACAAAATAACAACAACAACAAAAAAAAACCCCCCAAATACGAATTACAAACTTAAACAATCAACTAACTAGTCAATAACTAGACGGCAATTGAGCGTCAAGAGACTTGTTCGATTTGGCGTGTGCGCTCCGCGGCATCTGCTCGGCAACTGGCCAGTCGCGCACTCGCACTCGCACTCGCACTCGTACTCGCACTCGGATTCACATTCACATTCACAATGCACTCGCACTCGCACTCGGAATCGCACTCAAGACGCTCTGCCACTCGCAGTTGAGTGAGTGTGCGGCTGATAAGAGGCAGCCTCCAGCGGCGAGTGAGAACGCACGAGCGAGATGCCGCATGCGCTTGAACCGCTCGCGCCTTTTGGCCAAAATCAATTGAGCACAAATTGTTTTGCTTCTGTTAATATTGTTGTGTTTTTTTGTTTTTTGTTTTTTATTTTAATATGTTGAACGCTGTTTGGCTTTGTCATCAGAGGCGGTCGCAGAAATTGTGCTTCGCTTGAATTTCACAAGAAATTTTCGGATTACTCATCGTGTGAGTATTTTGGGTTTTTTTACTGCTCACATATCGCCAGCAGCAGCAGCAGCCGCAGCAGCAGCAAATGCAGACGCTGACCAGACAGACAAGTCGCGAGCAACAGCGACGTCATCGTTGACCAATTGGCCGCGGGCAACACGTCGTATGAATAATTCATACAAAACACAAATTCATTCAAAACCCGCGCTCGTGCCGGACCAACAGCTCGACTGCGACGGCGACGGCAACAGCGACGGTAACGGCGACTGCGACGGCAACAGCAGCAGCGGCAGCAACAGCAACAGCAACAGCCACAGCCACAGCCACAAGCTCAAACGTTTGTTGTTGACGTAGGTCAGCGACATCGCATTCGATAACGAAAACGGCAGCAACAACAACAACAGGGCCAGTGCCGGTACCGCTGTCGCTGCTGCTGCTGTTGCTGCTGCTGCTACTGCTGCTGCTGCTGCTGGTGCAAGCGCACGTGCTGCTGGCCATGTCCAACAAGTGGACAGGTGTCTCCGCAGAAGTTTCTGGTCTGATTGCATAACCGAAAGTGTGATTAATCGGAGTCTATAAACTTTATGATGGGAATGCATTTGGCCAATGCGACTGCAAGTGCTGGCCGAAGCTGCAATTGTATCCAAGGCCCAGTTAAGAATGACATCATATGATGAGGGTTATGGTCCGCTCCGCTCCGGTTCCCGTGACCAGCAAACATTTATAGCCCTTATCAGAGAGCGTGAAGAAAGCACAAAAAATAGGCAGCAAGCATGTGATTCGATTGATTGATTGATTGATTGATTGAACGCTCGGATTAGCACAAGACGGATTAGTACAGGCAGATTGTAATTATTGCTTATTAATTGCCGCTTGATTCGAGTGTCCAGTTGTGTGTTTATAATGAATTCAAGAATCTTTTAAATTATTTAAAAGCCATCTTTAAGAAACATATTGATGATGTTGAGCAGCGCGCTTTGTACTGTGTGTTCGGGGAAGTCCCCGACGCGCCTTTGAATAAACTATGCAAATGCGGCTAGACAATTGTTCGATATATCATTGGCTTTAGCTGCGGGTCTTATGGCAATATCTTTGCATTGACCTCCATTTGAGAAGTATTATATTTGATTTGATTTGATTTGATTTTATTTGGACTTAATGCGTGCTTTTAGCGCTGAGAACATCGCTCTAAAAATGATTAAATTTCACCACGTTTAGCTGTACGATCATAAATTTTGTACAGCCGTTAAAAATTGATATGCCTAGGGGCTCTTCAGTTGACTTTTTTGCTTTTTCAGTTTTGGGTGGGGGCCTGGTCTTAAGGGGACCTAAGAACTTTGGACTTGGCACTCGGCTGTGCGACAAACACTCGTACTTACTTGTATGGCACATTTTCGCAGTCACTTGGCACTGGGCTAGGTTAATGTTAATGTTAATGTTTATGTCTATAATACTGACTGGGGCGTACTCATGCACTGCGGGGAAGTACACTCGCTTATTGTTTAATAATGCTAACGACTCTTCGATTTTTGTTTAAGTTTCAGTTTCAGTTGAGGTTTGACTTATTGTTTGAGTCTCAGTTTGAGTTTTAGTTTTAGCTTTAGCTTTAGCTTTAGCTTTGTTCGGTTCGGTTCGGTTGGATTCGCGAGCCGACGATTATCATTGGCGTGCGTCTAAATAAGACTGATTCATGTTTTCAGCTGGGCACATTAATTTATATTTATACGAAATCGCCGTGCTGCGTGTGAGGCAGTCCCAGACGCAGACGCTGGCCGCGTCGTTGGCGTTGGCGCAGGCGTTGGCGCAGGCGTTTCTGTTCCATTTGCTTTCATTGATTGTTCGGAATGGTCTCCAATTGGCCGTCGCTGTAGTTGCTATCTGCTCATTGCTCGCTCGCGGTCTCAGTCTCAGTCGCAGTCGCAGTCGCAGTCTCGGTCGCGGCCGACGTCAGCGTCAACGTCACAAACGCAGTCACCGTCGACGTCAATTCCAACGTGCGAAAATATTGTAATCAGAACTCGCGCCATGCTTATAATTATTATTTGATTTGATTTTATGACTCCCGCAGCAAGCAGCATTAGGCCCACTCCCCCACCCCCATCCTCTAGGCCGAGCACCCCACCTGCCGTTCAACCAACCCTCCAACTCGGAAACACTGTCCCCTCCCCTCCCCTGCCAACCCCTCTCGTAATTATTTATAGTATTTATCCATTCATATTCATATCGTATTTACCTTTTATCAATTGCGTATGCCACCGCAGCCCTGCCCACCCCCAACACCCCCACTACCTTTTGCCACTACCCCTATCACATGTATACGCTCATACATTACGTTAGGGGGAACTTTTCCAGCTTAATGGTGTCAGCGCCTACTCCTTTGCCTTTACCTCTGCCTTATCAAAGACGCTCTGAAATTGCGTCAATGCGGCCACCGACTTCGATCGGCTCATTCTTAATATTAACTCCGTTGATGAATGCGCTCCAGGTTTCATTATCATTATCATTATCATTATCACTATCAAAGCTGTATTCAAATGACTCTTGAGTCATCCAATATCACTATATGACGTCTTGTGGCTTCATCGGAGCAGCTGCAGTATTGCAAATCGATAGAAAAGGTGTTCAAGTTTTCTGCAAATGTTAGTTCGTCAGCCTGTCCGTCCGTTCGTCTGTATGAATGCTTCGAGTTCGGGTATAGTACCCGAGTCTAAAGGCATAAAATTCTCTATGCGAAAACAACCCATGTCCTTCCCAAAATTGAACATTTTCACCTTTGGAGGTACAGAACAGCAGCTGCAAAACGTCAGATTACGAAATAGGAAAAATTTTGCTTTATCAAATATTGTGAAATAAAAACATGATGCTAAGATTAATATTTACACTTGTTGCTTTATTCATTTCTTAATGTTTATGGTGAAGAATTTAAATTATTTTAATCTGAGCTTAGAAATAAGACTCGTCTGAGATTGTGAAATACCTTTCAACTTAATATAAAGTAATCAGCTTAATATGCAATTAAATTATGCCCAATCGACGAAAGGGCCCAACTCGGATTTTGTTACGTCCATCTGTCCGTCCGCTTCTCTGTCCATGTTTATTTTAGTTTTCGATAACACTTGTTATTTACAGAGTATCGATAAATATCGATTTTATAGCCGGCTAGCCATACGTCATTTTGACGTAGACGATTTGAAAATAGGAAAAACTCCCTCCCTTAGGGATACACACATATCTTTGCTTTATTAATGTACTTTACACTATTTCATAAATGTTATATATACATCTTAAAGATGCTTATCAAAATCAAAACAAATAAATCACCTCACTTATCAAAAAAATATATATTTTACAATTTATTTGTTGAGCTAATTTGTCTTTAATGTATTGTGTACGGTAGATCAGGGACTACTTCTGGCTACTTGGCCAGCTCGGTGGCTACTAAAGTCATCGGCCAATTCGGAGTCTATCTTGACCAATGGCTGGCGGATTTATGACCCCAAAGCATTGATAACAAGTCCGAAAAACTATCCGCTTCTGCACTGAGCAAAAATATGGCTCTTAATTCGTTGATGAACCGAAGGTATTTAGTTAAATTATAGTAAATGTGGCCCTAAGTTAAAATATATTATAGCTGAAGGCAGTCTCATATATAGATATATGTTACGGCTCGATCACTTAAATACCGGCTATAATTTTTGCTAAGCATTTCTTTATTTATAATTTCATGTGCACAGATAACAATAATTGTGACACTCTCAGGTACTTGGGGTGCAATGTACAAATCCGAAAGTAAAACTCGTGTTGGCCACCTTCTCCTCCTCCTCCACCTCCGCCTCCGCCCACGCCTTCGTCGCACACTTATTGCCATAAAAGTGCTCATATGATATCGCATTGAGCCCCCACAATTCGTTCTCACTTTCGCTTGGTACGCGTCGCTGATAAGTGATAAGGTACTAAGTCCCATGGAAAACTTTTATATGCCAAAAATGATCGATAATTACTTCGTTATGCTTAAACGCTTAACGTGTCTTTTGTTTTTGTTTATAAATATGATTATATTTGAAATGATACATGTAGCTTAATAGTTGGCTGTAGAAGACATCGTGCCATATAGTATATACAAATTAAATAGGCTATTAAATTAGACAACATAGAAATTACAAACTATTTATTGTGTCATTCCCATCATTTATTTTGTCTGTATCTTAGAATACTTTGTATTGTTTGTGTACTTGGGTG